AAATTTGAGGAACAAGCTTTCCACGGCATAATAACCGGACAGGTTTGTAAATGTCAGTCTTAAAGGTCTCACCTTCACATAGTAAGAAGGCACTGAGTAAATTCTCCTTTGGGAGATAGGTAAACTCAGCAACCATTACAAAACTCTCAAAATTGAAACAAAGTCTTGTTTGTTTTTTGTTTTGAAATGTAACTCTGGGTATATTTCTACTCTGTTCTTAGCCTTATGATTTTCCATTGGGAGATTCTTTACTGAGTTTTATTAAGGGAGAAGCCAGGTTATGGAGTTCCTGAAAAGAAAGCATTAACATTCTTTGAATCCATTCATTTGTTACCTCTGCACACACTCTAGAACACATACCTTGAACTGAGCCTCTGGTGGCCCAGTGATAATCACCATCCTCACTTTAGCATCTGGTGCTTCAGCTGGAGCAATCTGTAATAGACACATCAAGGGGGGATGACACGTTCAGGTGCCACTGATAGAAACGTTACATACACCAGCCTGACATTTGTGCACGACTTACTGAAATGTAAAATGAAAGCCTTCTGGAAGAAAGCTACAGAGCAGCAGTGATTAACGTGGGTTCATTATTTCTGGCTCCTGCCATGAACTGAGCACTTAAATTGTGCCCGGCCCTGATGTAAATGTCCACATGCAATCTCAGGTAATCCTCACTGGGTTCTAATGAGGTGGTACCTGTACTTTACAGAGGGGAAACAAGGCTGAAGAAGTTGAGTTACCTGGCCCACCCATGATCACATAGCTAATCCAGCTGGAGGGAGAATTGGATCTTGTCTCCACTGCCCATGTTCCTCATCACTACACCAATGGTGCTCAAAGTGTGGTCTTTGGCCCATATGCATCAGAACCCCCAGGTCTGTATGTGCAAGGAACTGCTATGTTCACAAATCTAAGACTATTGGTAAATTCCCCTGAAGTATGCTCGTTAGAATAACATGAAATAAACTAGCACTAATTTGGCAGAAGGAAAGTAAATGGCTTTTCTATTTTTGCTGAATATATGAAATCACACAAAAAGCCTGGGCCAGGGGAACTGTTGCAGAGGCTATTGAAGGGAGAGGAAACCAGCATTCTTCCTCAGTCATAGGATTTGGGGACCCAGCTGGTAGTCGTTTTAAAAGAAAAAAATTTGCTAAACATATGCTGTATTAGAAACAAATTCTTACTATTTACCAAATAGATTATTATGTAAGAACAGGAAGCAAAAAAATGATAAAAACTACCCTAAATTCTACCATTCATTATGATCCGTCAGTTACTAATGTAGTTACTAGATCTCTTCCCACACATGTTTACACAATCAAAGAATGTTTTTATTTTTAATGGAGTCATCTTTTCTCTCTTCCTCTGTCACCTACAGCCACGCTAATACTATTCCTACTTTATGCTGGGCACTAATTTTGAGTCTATAAAACAAGCAAATAATTACTTCCCTTTAGTTTAAGCTCTTAGAATTATTCACAGGAAACCCCTGGAACAAAAATATCATTCTTTATCTTTCTGACTAGATTTGTCAATACTGGTGAGGGAGGACTGGGGCTAAGGGCACTCATACATGGAGGTTAAGAGTATAAATTGCTATAGTCTCTGAAAAGCCTGAAAACACATGCCCTTCGACTCACCAAATCTACTTTTATAGACTTACCTTAAAAAATAAGTTTGTATGTAACAATTTGCTAATAGAACATGGCACTATTTGTGCAGAATAAGTTAGGAACAGTCTAAATATCCAATAAGTGAACAAATAATTAGCAAATACCAAATATATGCCTATTAAGTACATATATGAAATTTATGTATATGTAAATCTAGCAAAGTGTTAAGAATGGTGGTGCGGGTGCCTGGGTGGATCAGATGGTTAAGCGTCTGCCTTCAGCTCAGATCATGATCGCAGGGTCCTAGGATCGAGTCCCACATCGGGCTCCCTGCTCCTTGGGAGCCTGCTTCTCTCTCTCCCCCCCCCATCTCTCATGAATAAATAAAATCTTAAAAAAAAAAAAAGAATGGTGGTGCATCTTTCAGATTATGTTTCAGACTTTCTTGGAAACAAAATATTTTACCCTAATTATAAAACCTTTAAAGCCTGAAAGAACACTGAATACCTAAATATGCAGTTTTTCCAAAGCCAATCTACTAGGTTCTTCTTGCACGTGTCAAAGACTTATTTTTAACTCAATCAGGAAACTTGTAGCACAGTAAAGTTGGTTCAGCCCTCAGTCTTTTACCATCTCTTTCCCTTTATCTGTTTATCTTGGCTGCATTTCCTGTTAATGTATTTTGTTATCTTTTGCTACAAGAGAGCATATGAGGGCTATTTCTGTGTTTTGCTTTTTTATTAACTATTTAATTTACATACAGTAAAATTCATTCTTTGGTAACAAATGCATAGGCAGATAACCACCACTACAATCAAAAATAGTTCAGTCACTCTCCACAATTCTTCCTGCTATCTCTCTTTATATTCAAGCCTATATTCCACCTCCAGTTCCTAGTAACCACTGAATTTTTTCTCTATTCCTTTAGTTCTGCCTTTTCCAGATTTTACATACGATTGGATCATAGAGTATGCGGCCTTTTGGGTCTGATTTCTTTCCCTTAGCATGTAACATGAGATCCAACCAACATGTATATATCAATAGTTTATTCTTAATATCCTCTGTATAGGTGGACCACAGTTTATCTATTTGCCCTTTGCTGAACATGTGCTGCTTCCCCTTGGGCGATAGCTGCAAATAAAGATGCTATAAACATTTGAGTCCAACTTTTTTGTGTACTATTTTTTTTAAGATTTTATTTAGAGATTCATTTATTTATTATGAAAGAGTGCACGTATAGAGGGGAGGGGCAGACTCCCCACTGAGCTTGGAGCCCTACATGGGGCTCGATTCCAGGATCCTGAGATAATGATCTGAGCCGAAATTAAGAGTCAGAGGCTCAAGTGACTGAGCCACCCAGGCACCCCAGTACTGTATTCCTTTAAATAAAATATCTTAAGGGCACCTGGGTGGCTCAGTTGTTAAGCGTCTGCCTTCGGCTCAGGTCATGATCCCAGGGTCCTGGGATTGAGCCCCACATCGAGCTCCCTGCTCCATGGGAAGCCTGCTCCCTCTCCCACTCCCCCTGCTTGTGTTCCCTCTTTCGCTGTCTCTCTGTCAAATAGATATTAAAAAATCTTTAAAAAAATTTTTTATAAAACATTAACAACAAAAAACACCCCACTAGACTGATGTTTTCCTGAAGAAAAATTTCACTGCATTGAGCCATTATCAGTTTGTGCATATGTTAAACACAATGAGCTATCTCTGTTATATTGTTTCTCAGCGTATCAAAATTCAGAATCTTCAGAGCACACAATTCTCTAGTTGGTGGATACCATTAACTGTCCTCTGATATTTGTTATCCCACTTTCCATAATAATAAAATATTTAGCTCAACATTTCCCTGTTGCTCTTTCAGCTGTGTCTGGCCTTCTGATGCAGTTTCTGAGCAATGAAATGGAGATAAAAATATCTTATGGCACCTAATAAGAAACCTCTGTAAGAGGAAGGTTCTTAGTGTTCTCCAACTGGCTGGACCCCAGACTTGTGAGAGCACAGAATATTGTCATTTGGGGCCAAGAGGGACCAAGGCCATGCCTGGGGAAGATAAGCTAGAACTAACCCAGGTCCAGGGACTTAGTGGGCCAAAACTACCGCACCAGCGGTAGTTGGACTGCTTACCTCCAGACTACTTTTTTCTGAGAAGGCAACTTACTTTGTTGAAGCTGTTGTTCAGGGTTTTCTGTTACACCCTATGTAGCTGCGGTATAGACTGCCACATGCAGTTCGATTATGAAGTGGCAGGACGACTCATGTTCCTGTGACTTACTGTCATTAAAGCACTAACAGCCACGGTTGGCAGAACAGTACCTTAATAGAAGCTCCTGCAAAGCGAGAAAGCTGCTTGATGTGCTGCCCCTGCTTGCCGATAATGGCGCCAACAGATAGGGCTGGGATAAACAGATGAACAGTCTCCGTTTCTGATTGCTGCTGGAAAAGACAGGACATACGTGTGTATTTGGTAAAATTAGGCTATTATCATTGGCAGAGGGGTGGGGGCATTCTCATATGGTAGGAATATTAGGAAGTTGATAAGAGTGCTGGTAAGAGTTTACCTGAAGTTGAGAACATCTCCTATTCATCCTGAAAGCATCTGAATTTAAAAGGTCACTTTTCTCTACACAGTTTTCTTCAACTTTAGGATGTCACTGATTTACAGATTTAAAAGGTAAGTCAGAGTCATAAAGTTTAGATTCTTGACAAGTGAAATTCTGGGCCACACATCACCGAACACAACTGCATCCAAGGACACCAAGTCTACACCTTATCGGTGTGGGTTTTGCTTCATAAACACATACCTGATGAACTAGTCTCAAAGGGAAGAACTCCTGAGTCTCATTACATAGGACTGAATTGTGTAAAACCTTAGCACCACCATTTGGTACACAACCACACCCAAACATAGGACAGGATTAGAAGAGAACGCTCACTTTAGTGGCAAAACGCCCTAAGATTCTTTCCCATATAGTTCGTTATTCCTCCCATCTCTGCCCTTCCTTTGCCACTTAACACACGGACAAATTGGAAAACATTTTTAAGGCTAACTCCTCAAAGGTTCTTCAAATATGGATTTTGTCTATACACTTCTCAACTTCCCACTTCAAGCCAACTATGTCCTTCCTGAATCATTTCCCTTCAAATAGTCATTCTTGTAGGGCTAACAGACACTCAAGAGAACACAGTGACTGGGTTCAAAAAAAAAGCTAATCCAAGATTCAGTGATGTTACTGGTGAGCTACCGGTTCTAAAATGCAGAAGCAGTGCACATGTTCATATATTAATACTTGCTTTTTTTTTTTTTTTTTAAGTAGACTCCATGCCTAGTGTGGAGCCCACCGTGGGGCCCAAACTTACAACCCTGAGATCAAGACCTGAGAGGGAATCAAGAGTTGGATGCTTAACTGAGCCACCCAGGTGCCTCAATACTTCCTTACTTTCTAACAACATTAAAAAAAACATGCTTCCCAGGATAAGTCAATTCTAAGAAATTTACTCCAGGAAATATTTTTTATTTTCTAAGACTTTTTTAGAGCAATTTTAGGTTCACAGCAAAATTGAGAGGCAGGTACAGATTTCTCATATATGCCAAGAAATATTTTAAGATGACCACAATTGAATATACTAACTCAATATGCAGTTTTTTAAAAAGTTCACCTACCAACTAAGATTTATAGAGATATTAGAGGATATATTGCAGTAAGAAATGTACACATTAACTACTTGGTAAGAAACACTTCACAGAATTCTCTCTTGAGCCTTCTTAAATTCCTATTATGGAGGATAGGATAAATTCCATTTCCAAGTACTCAAGTTGGTCCCTCAAGTCCTGTAATATGTTCACACAGAGCCATGAAACAGCATCAGTCTAATTTCTAATTTACAAACCCTCTCTAAATTTGTAAAGTCTCGAACAAACAGGTCAACAGTTTGGCTTTCAAACATCCCAGGAACTAGGAAAATCTTTAGAACATGATCATTTTAAGCAGTTTCTGAAAATCTTAGTCAAAGGAAACAGGAGCACTGGGCTCATTCATTTTTACTGGATGTGGAACAAATTTTATGCTACCTAATGTTAGTCCACCAAATGACCACCACTCTTCCAACACAAAAATTACCAGGGGCATTATCAGCTCCATCTTCTCCCTATTAAGCCCAGAGAGCATGGAGCACTCCATACCACGGGTCTATGGGGAGATGGTGCTCAACAGCAGAAACCCACATATGGATGAATCAGCCATTTCATTTGTCCCTCCACACGCACTTACCAGAAGGCCATTCCACCATAGGACAGTTTACTGACACTATTTGGTAGGAATTTTTTTTAAAAACTAAATTAGTAAACAGAAACACTCTGGAAATAACAAAAAGGCTGGGCTGGTTCTTAAAGGAAAACCTTTTGTCTATGTATCAGTTAAGAAATTGAAATGGGGGCGCCTGGGTGGCTCAGTCGTTAAGCGTCTGCCTTTGGCTCAGATCATGATCGCAGGGTCCTGGGATCGAGCCCCACATCAGGCTCCCTGCTCACTGCGAAGCCTGCTTCTCCCTTTCCCACTCCCCCTGCTTGTGTTCTTGCTCTCGCTCTCTCTCTCAAATAAAATCTTAAAAAAAAAAAAAAACAAATAAAAAGGGGGAAATATAAGATAAAAAGATACAATGTCAATAAATCTGAAAATATCAAAAATTTGTCTAATAGGATTTACCAAAAATCAGAAGAATTTACATTGACCTAAACAACTGTTAACTTCTATAATCAACTAATTACCTAAAGAAAGCACCAAGCCCAAGTAAGTCTAATTCTTCCAGGCAAAATGCTCAGGAAGAATGACCAAACCCAGCGGAAAAGACGACGTGGGAAACTAGGTAAGGACGGGGGAAATGGATTTAATAAGCCAAAATAGTCAATGAATGGGAACATGCTACAAATAACATGTCTTTTTTTTTTTTTTTTTTAAGATTTTATTTGACAGAGACACAGAGAGGGAACACAAGCAGGGAGAGTGGGAGAGGGAGAAGCAGGCTTTCCACTGAGCATGGAGCCTGATGCAGGGCTGGATCCCAGAACCCCGGGATCATGACCCAAGCCAAAAGCAGACGCTTAACCGACTGAGCCACTCAGGCACCCCCAAATAACATGTTCTAATTTGTTTTTTTACCATAACGATACAGCTTGGATCTCATTCATTCATATGGCCCTGACTCATCCCATTAAACAGGGTAGTCCAGCTAGACTCACCACTGCTGACTCATCTCCGTGCATGTGTGTTTGTGTGTGTGTAGTTAGCAATTTTCAGCTAATTCATGTAATGCTGCAATCAAATCTTTGTATAAAAAATTGTGCCCTTGTACAAATACCTCTACTATATAGATTCTTAGAAATAAAACTGAGTCAAAGGTTCTGAACGTTCAAAATTGATAATTATCAAGTTATACAAAAAGTTTCCCCACTCTGTTGGAATCCCAGTTAAGACATTCACGGAATATTTGAGTGCTACCTTTGTGTTTAGCATGGTGGAAGATGAGTAAAAAGCATGCTGAGGTCAAAATTCAAGTTTAGGAAGAAGGCAACTATGATCAGGGAGCAGGGGTATACAGGAGTCCTGTGTGGTGAGAGTTTGTGAGTGTTCTCTGTGAGGTGCATCATCTCATCTACACCTCACTACCCGTACAACTAATAGAAACTAACAGCATTTCCATTTTAAAAATGAGAAAACCGAGCAAAAGAGATTAAGTGACTTGTACATGGTCATATACTGATTATAGTGTTGCAGCCAGCATTCAGAGACTTCTCTCTCAAGCCGTTTCTTAAAAAAAAAAAAAAAAAAAAAAGACCCGTGTTTCCAACAGCTATAGATACGCTTTATAACACAAGAGCTGCAGAAGTGATTCTTAAGAACAGCCCAGGGGCGCCTGGGTGGTTCAGTCAATTAAGCGACTGACTTCAGCTCAGATCATGATCTCAGGGTCTTGGGATCGAGTCCCACGTGGGGTTCTCTGCTTAGCAGGGGGCCTGCTTGTCCCTCTTCCTCTCCCCCTACCCCACTGGAGCTCTCAAAACAGACAAACAAAACAAAAACCCACGTAATAGCCCAACAGAACTCTCAGCTGAGGAGGTGCTGCCTTCCCTGGTGGTATCACTCTTCTATCTACCTCGGTATGATACCTTTCCTGAGTCAAAAGAAATTTCCTATGGGTAGTTGGCAAAAGCTTAAGCCTTTGATTATCAATGTGCAAAAAATGGCATCAGAGATAGTCCATTAAAAATTGTTTATTTGGGGGGCACCTGGGTGGCTCACAGTCAGTAGAGCATCCAACTCAATCTCGGGTCTTGATCTCAGGGTTGTGAGTTCAAATTCCACATTGGGCATGGAGCTGCCCACTTTAAAAAAAATTCTTTATTTTGAAGAAAAGGGATAACTAAAGGTTAAGAATGATGTAAAGGGGGTCAAAAGGCACAAACTTCCAGCTATATAATAAGTCATGGGAATGTAATGTACAGCTTGATGACTACAGTTAATATTATACAGCATATTGGAAGGTCACTAAGAGAGATCTTAAGTTCTTATCAACAAGGAAAAAACCACCATGCTAATGGATGTTGACTTACTGTGATCATTTTGCAATATATACAAATATCAAATCATTATGTACCCCTGACACCAATGTTGTATGTCAATTATACCTCAAAAAAATTTACAAAAACTTTAATAGTTTAATTGAATCACACACCAAAAAAAAAAAAAAAAAAAGATGCTCCAACAGAACAAGGATCCGACAGCAACAGGTTTGTTGTCTCATCAGCACACACTTTTTTTTTTTTTTTAAGATTTTATTTATTTGACAGAGAGACACAGCGAGAGAGGGAACACAAGCAGGGGGAGAGGGAGAGGGAGAAGCAGGCTTCCTGCTGAGCAGGGAGCCCAATGCGGGGCTCGATCCCAGGACCCTGGGATCATGACCTGAGCCGAAGGCAGACGCTTAACGACTGAGCCACCCAGGTGCCCCTCTATGAGTATTTAACATACTTTATAACTTAAGAGTCTCAATGTTTGTTTCCACTGTGAGAATAAAATAACCACATCACAGAAAAGTTTAAGAAAAAATTCACAATCCCTTCATCTTTACCTGACAGTTATTTTGTTGTATCTGAAGGTACTATTCAAGATCTGCAGAAAATTTGGTTTCCATTTTTTCACTAATTTCTCTAACACTGCAATCAAATCTCTAAACATAAATCCTGTGCCCCTATACAAATACTTCTAAGATTTTTATGTAATAGAAACGCTGGATTGGAGCATTAGCATTTAAAATTGACAGGTTATTTCCAAATTTTCATACTAACACATTTATTTTATGGTCAACATATATATTCAAGAAAGGGGGAAATCATCTTATTTTGAACCACGCCTTTCACACTTACGAAACAGAAAGCAACATCAGACTCGAGACCCCAGGCCGTGTTTTCTACAAATGCAAATCATCTGAACTGTGCTCCTCTTTCTAAGTCTCTTCCTTGACCTGTAACCCACACGTACCTCCTATTTCCTGTTAAGAGTTAACCCCAAATCCAACTCCAGGAAATATTACTGAGGAAAATCATTGGATTCTGTTTCTTCAGCATATGTATAAATAGTTGTACTACTTTCTTTACAACTTAGTATCCCTGGTGTTTCCCAGGACGTCGTAACACACTGCAGGTCTTAATACAGCAGTCAGCTACATGGAGCCTGCCTGATCTCCATATAAGCACTCTTAGAGCAAATATACCAGAAGAGGGTTTGCCTTCCCACTAAACTCTGAACTGTGGAGATCTGTGATAGGGGCCTGTCCTGCACAGCTTGGCCAAATCACTTCTGTTGCTATTCACCAGTGAAGAACACTGAACGAGTAACATTAGTTCATTCTTTTAGTATTTCCCAGTCCCAAGAATAGTGCCTCTGTGTGCAAAGCACCATACTTCACAGCCTGTCAGTGTGTTCTATAATGACTAAGTACCATTTATTCCAGGGGACACTTTAAGGCCTTTCTTATTTTAATAACTGAATTAATGAGGACATTGACCATAAATGGTGCTTAATGTTAATATTAATTTGTCATTCTGGTCCTTATGGCAAAACTGATAACATTAATCCTAACTTTTTTTTTAAGTAAAGATAGGATCTAAGTATTTTATCTCACTGAGAACATCTATACCATGTTCTTCTGAATAATATCCCTTTTTTTTGGCCTGACAGCGATAAAGACCTTTTTAATGATCAGACTAAACCCAATCTGTAACTCGCCCAGATCTGCCCCATTGTATTTTGCCATGACTGTGTAATTATTTGTTTTCTGGGCCTTGTTCCAGAAAGATTTTAAGCTGCTCAGAAAATACACATAATCTAGAAGTAAAACAAAGGAGGCGAAGAAATAAGACCATAGGGACCTGAATATAAAAGATGAAGCCAGGAATGCTGTTCTTGTATACATTTGGAACTAAGCTTCCTAGCAGCTAATTTTAAAAAAGAAAATCAGCTGCATAACTGAGTATGCCTGGAAGAGAAAAACTATCCATTTGCTTAGTAAAAAACACTTTTCCCAGGACTGAGCCCAGAGAGCACAACTTCTTTCTGTCTTCAGAGGATTGATGTTAACAGGCATCCTTGGAGCGAAAGCTGCAGAGCCTCGCAAGCACAGAGTGGGCATGTGTCCTAGTCCAGAAGATACTGAAGACAACTCTGCTAGGAGAAAAGCTCAAACCTATGCTACCGCCACAAAAGCTGAACAAAAGCCAAATAATCTTTCTGACATAGTGATGAAAGGCCATCAGCGCTTTTTTTCGTTGCTTTTTGGGAGTGGGAATCAAGTAGGAGTGAACACGTCCAATATGAAGACTAAGAACAAACTGTAAAGTTGTGTGAGGCTTTGGAAAAGGAGGGGTGGTCAGTAGAGAAGGGCCGAAGGGACCAAATTTTAAAGTTAAGACATAAAGAATCCGCATACAGAAAAATGTTCTGTGCTGCGATGAAAACAGGAACAACAAAGTTTGTCAAATAGCAAAAGCAGTGTCAGAAAGAAGCAAACTAAACGTACCAAGAGGTGATGCCCCACACTGATGGGCAGTGATGTGCACTCCTGGCAATAGCACCTTAATAAAAAGTTGACTCATCAGAAGTCTGAGGCTTGATGAAACCTTTTCTTTTTTAAGATTTTATCTACCCATTTGACAGAGACACAGCGAGAGAGGGAACACAAGCAGGGGGAGTGGGAGAGGGAGAAGCAGGCTTCCTGCAGAGCAGGAGCCCGACACGGGGCTCGATCCCAGGATCCTGGGACCATGACCCGAGCCAAAGGCAGACGCTTAACGACTGAGCCACCCAGGCACCCCATGATGAAGACATTTCTGAACATCACCCAACTCCCTTCATGCCAATTCCATATCCACCGAGCACCTCCCCGACCGTAACTTTTTTTTATTATGTTATGTTAGTCACCATACATCATTACTTTTTGATGTAGTGTTCCATGATTCATTGTTTGCGTATAACACCCAGTGCTCTCCATTCAGTACATGCCCTCCTTAATACCCATTACTGGGCTAACCCGTCCCCCCACCCCCTTTTAAAGGAACTTTTTCTCTGGGAATATAAGGCATCTCACATAATTATCCTATTTGACAATCATTAAACTGGCTCTGTGGGGGTCGCCTGGGTGGTTCAGTTAAGCATCTGCCTTCGGTTCAGGTCATGATCCCAGGGTCCTGGGATCGAGCCCCACATTAGGCTCCCTGCACCTCGGGAAGCCTGCTTCTCCCTCTTGCACTCCCCCTGTGTTCCCTCTTTCGCTGTGTCTCTCTCTCTCAAATAAATCTTTTTTTTAAAGATTTATTTGAGAGAGCAAGAATGAGAGAGAGAACAAGTACATGAGAGGGGGGAGGGTGAGAGGGAGAAGCAGACTCCCCGCTGAGCAGGGAGCCCGATGTGGGACTCGATCCCGGGACTCCAGGATCATGACC